TACTAAGGTTATAGTTCATACTGGTCATGCTGCTATTAAATATTTGTTGAATAAGAAAGAATCTAAACTTAAGCTCATTAGATAGTTTTTGTTGTTGCAAGAATTTGATGTGAAAATTGTTGATAGGAAAGGAACTGAAAATTAGGTCGCTGATCATTTGTCTAGACTTGTTCATGTTTCTAATTATGGTGATGACTTATTGATTGCTGAAAATTTTCCTAATGAGCAATTATTTGTTGTTGGTATTTGTAATTTACCATGGTATGTGGATATTGTGAATTACCTTGTGTGTAGACTATTACCTCTTGATTTGAAGCCTTTTCAAAAGAAGAAGTTTTTGCGTGATATTGACTTTTATATTTGGGATGAACCATTTTTATTTAAAAGATGTGTTGATTTGATCATTAGAAAATGTGTTCCTAAAATAGACTAAGAAGCCATTTTATATACCTGTCATGTATCTGTATATAAGGGCATTATAAAGGATAAAGAACTACTTCTAAAGTATGTAAGTCTGGTTTTTATTAGCCTTCTTTGTTTAAAGATGCTCACTAATTTGTTACCAAGTGTGATAGATGTCAAAGGACAAGAAATATTTCTAAGAGACATGAGATGCCTCAGTCCATGATTTTAGAAGTGGAATTGTTTGATGTTTGGTGTATGAATTTCATGGGACCATTTCCTTCTTCTAGAGGAAATCAATATATACTCATTGCTGTAGAGTATGTGAGCAAGTAGGCAAAGGCTATAGCATGTCAATCAAATGATGGTAATATTATGATTTGGATTTTAAAGAAGAACATCTTTCCAAGATTTGGTACTCCTCGAGCCATTATCACTAATGAGGGTACGCACTTCAATAATAACCAATTAAAGGCTCTCTTGTCAAAGTATAAAGTCCATCATCAAATGTCCCTTGCTTATCACCCATGAACCAATGGTCTTTATAAGTTGACTAATAGAGAGATCAAGTGGATACTTGAGAAGATAGTAGGTCATACTAGAAAAGATTGGTTAGATAAGCTTGATGATACTTTATGGGCTTACTGTAAAGCCTTTCAAACTCTAATTGGGATGTCCCCATACCCTTTAGTCTTTGGGAAGGCATGTCACTTACCTATTGAATTGGAGAATAAATCTTGGTGGGTAATTAAACAATTGAATATGGACCCTAAGCAAGTTAGTGCATAAAGAATAATGCAATTGAATGAGTTAAAAGAGTTTAGACTCCATGCTTTTGAAAGTGCTAGACTTTATAAGGAGAGAACTAAGAGGTAGCATGATTAACATATCTTACATCATACTTTTGAGCTAGGACAATTGGTATTGCTTTTCAACTCAAGATTAAGGCTATTTCTTGAAAAGCTAAAATCTCAATGGTCCGGCCCTTTTAAAGTGCTTTCTATAGAACTACATGGAGCAATTGAGGTTCTTGATGAAAGAACGAGTAGATCTTTCAAAGTTAATGGATAAAGACTCAACCATTATTGGGGAGATGACATAGAGCAATTGAAGTATGTTGTCTACTTGGTTGATCCATGTTGATGATCTGAGAGAGTCTAGCTAAAGACTATAAACCGAGTACTTTTTAGGAGGCAATCCAAGTTTATTTTCTCTTTACTTGTGTTTTTGGTTTGTTTGTTTTCTTTATCTTTAGTTTGTACTTCTTTTATTTTGGTGTGTTTGTAGGATTGCAAAGTTCTTGAAGAATTTGAAAGCTTAAAGCCAAGTCTTGGAATCAAAAAACGGGTCAATAATATTTTGGGGGAGTATTCTATCCTTATGCTTAATTAATGATATTTATATGTTTTTATATGGGATCAAGATCTTGTGTTTATGAAATTTTAGATTGAAAGTGTTTAATTAAATGTCAGAAGGTGTGGAAGCGAGTTTGATATGATGATTGTGTTGATTAGGAGGTGCTTAGGCTCTTTTCTCTGTGAGTTTTTTTGCTTTATTTGCATATTTTTCTTAAATTTTGAGTATTTTTATTCTTTATTTTGTTTGTCTCAGTAACAGAGAATTTTTCCCTAGCAAAAGGTCTCTTTGTGTTCTTGTCAAAAATTTCAAAGAACACCTTCATTGTAGTAAAATCTCATTTCACTCTAACGGTAGATGTCTCTGTGAGTTTTCATTAAAAAAATTCTAGAGAGCACCTTCGCTACAATAAAATCTCATTTCACTCTGACGATAGATGCCTCTATGACTTTTTACCAAAATACCAGAGAGTATCTTCGCTGGAGTGAAACTTTGTTTCGTTGGAGTAAAAGACTATTCTATGAAATGCTTAACTAGCTTACAAAAAGCACCTTCGCTAGAGCAAAATCTTTGGCTGAGTAAAAAAAAAATATAATTTTTTTAATTTAGTTTAATAAGAATAAATTTGTAAATATTTGTTTGCCTTAAAAAAATTCAAAAATTATTATTAATATTATTATTGTTGTTATTATTTTGCCATAAAATATTATTTTATTACTATAAAATATTTTATTTTAAATAAAAAATATTATGTAAATTTTTTTAAAAAAAATTATATATATTATTTTAGTTTATTATTTTTATTTTACCAAAAAATTCAAAAAAAAAGAATATTTACATATTCATATATTTTACTGATTATTTTACTTTATTTGTACTTAAAAAAAGTGCCACTTTTTTATATAAATTTAAATAAATAATTTTTTTACAGTTTTACCCTTCTGTGCTTTTACCCTCATTATTTCTCTTTCACCTTCACCCATCTTCATCTTCAGCTGCAAAACTCAACCTTTTTTGCCCAGCGATGTGCTTCACCCCTGTCTGCAACTCATTCTTCTTACTCAGTTGTGTGCAGCGTCCCTCCATCTTACCTGTCCTAGTTTTCTTCTCTATCGAGCATTGGCAGCAGCTTCACATTCATCTCTATCTTCCCTCTATTCAGCCATGTGCAGCCTCCTCCGCCACTGTGTTCAGTTTTTTGTGCTTCAATTCATCAACCCCATATTAACTCCAACAAGCTCAGCTGCAGCCTCTATGCTCCATCTTCTCAGTAGTCAAGTTCAGTGAGTTTGCTCATCCCAGCCATACCTTCCTCCTCTGTCATACATCGTCGTGTTCAACCCCTTGGTGAGTGGCGCCAAAAGCTGAGTCCTCCATTTCCAACTGTGCTTCATTGTCTCTAGCTATGTACAACTTCTCGTTTCTTTGCTTTACTGTGTTCATCGTATATAACTTCATCTTCTCCTTCGCTCGCTTGTCATCCCTATTGAGCCTTCCCTTTCCATTAAACGTTGCTAGCAACTTTGCATTTATCTTAGTTTTTCCTTAGGTCTGCTTTAACCGTCAACCTCTATTGTGTCTGGGTCTGCCACTACCTCTATTCCAGCCATGGTTTAGCCATGTCTCCACTCTCTTCCACTGTGGCCTTGCTCTGTTTCACACTTCTATATACTTTCTTCACAGTTCACAGCCTTCACCTATACCTCACCTTCGATCCATTTCATTCTCTCTGATAGTTGAAGACCCTGTTCATCATCTTGTTTCCTCTCCACCGTGCTCGGCCATCTTGCACTGTTACCTTGTTTTGTTTAGCATTGTAATGTCTCAAATCTTCCTCGCCACAAGTCTGACTTCGGCCTGCTTGTTAATGTCTCAGCTTGTTGCTATTTTAGCTTCCATTTTATTTTATTCCACTTACCTAGCCATTCATAGTCTTCTTGTGCTCTTTGTCCATTCGTGTAAGTCATCATTTAACACTTCATTTTTACACCTGTGCATATTTTCAGTCAAGCTTCAGGTATAAATCTCACACACATTATGTTTGATATAAGATGTGTTTATTTCGTATAGCCCTTGAGAGTTAAAATGGGTGTTGGTGGATGGAATTGGTTCTGTTAGATTCATGCTTTAAACTTTGAATTGAATATTTATTGTGCATAGTATGGACCCATTCTTATCTCAATGTAAAATTTAGTTGTGAGCAGTGTTATTTGTTTTTCATAGTTAGGTGCTTTGAATTTTGTGCATATTGCTTTGGCTTTCTAGATAATGGTTATTTAGCTTAGTTGACAAGTTGAAATTTCAAAGTGAGGACCACTTTGTTTATACTACTGAGGGTACAATAGTTTAGTTAAATATTCTTTGACTTTACCAATTTTTGGCACTAGATCTTAAAATTGTTTTTGTTTGCTTATGTTGAAAGTCGGTTATTCTTACTTTGTTGTCTACTGATGGATGATATGTTCTTATAATTTGAGTGGGGCCTTTATTTTAACTTGTCCACTTTCGCAAGTTGGCATGGCTCTTATTTCCATTTGGTTGTCTTTATTTAATTTTTGGCAAGTGATTACTTTTATAGTGGTTTGTCTATTGTGACTTATAGCTTGTCTTGTGTTTATGTCTTAGGAATGGGTCACAAGAGTATAGCTAAACAAAAGACTGCTCCTTTTTCTTCTGCTCAGAAAACTGCTAAGAAGTCAAAGCAACCATTCAATAATAAGAAATTCATGAATCACGCATGTCAAGATAGATTTCTCTCTCTTGTGGGATCCAAGAATTTTATTTCTAACTGCTATTGTACAAATTTTATGCTCCAAAGCTGCCTTTCAAACAATGGTGCAAAGGGGATGTATGGTGTATTTGATAATGAAAAATTTCAATATTATATCCCTGCTCTAGTTAGGGAATTTTATGCGAATGCTTTTTATTGCTGCAATGACACTTACTGGGTATGCGACAAGGAAGTGGTAATTAATGCTGAGGTTATTCAGAATTATTATGGCTTCCCTTCCACTACTGACTGTCTTTATCACTAATACAAGATGAACACCTTCATACCTGATTGGGATGCAGTGGCCAAGCATTTATGTTTTGACTCTACTGATTTTTGTTAAAGAGGGCTATTGAGGGGTACACTTACAAGGCAAAACACATTTTGGTTTCATTGTGTGGCTCACAATATCATGCCCACATCAAATGCATTAGAAATGAACAAGGATCGTTTTTTTCTCATCTATTACATTATGGAGAGAAAATTGGTTGATCTAGCTGCTATTATCTATAACTCTATAAAGCGGTGTATCAATGACAAGACTAAGAGAGCACTTGCCTTCCCTCATTTGATTACTGAGTTGCTTCTGGCTGCTAAAGTTCCTATTACTGATGATGAGGACCAACAGCAACCCCGTCAGCCTATCAAGTACCACAAAATGCATGCCAAGTCATCTCGAGTAGAAGAGTCTCCAATAAAATAAGGGGAAGAAATTAATCAGCCTACCCCTGTTTGTTCTCCTCCTTTTAATGTGTGGGCTAAGCAATAATTGGACTCATTAGCAAATTCTGTAGAGAGGTTAGAAGAGCATTTATGCCTCATCATGTAGCATTTACACATACTCGGTCATGACGTGCCTAGCTCATTTTCGGCACCTTCTTCTATTCCATCCATGGATCCCTGTCAGGCTGAACCCACCACAGAATTGAGATTTCACCCTGCTTGATTTGTGTCTTTTTGATTAGTATCTTTATTTCTTTTGCTTTTAGTTATTTTTAGTTATTTTGCTATTTTTTTGGTGACTGCTTCATTTACTATTTTGGTTTGTAACTGATATTTGATAATCCTTTACTCGATGGTTTGTAACTAACTTTATTTCTAACTTATCCACTTGTCTATTTGATATGATTAGCAGGTACCTATGTTCTTGAGGATATGTCACTCTCATCATTCTGTTAAAGTCTTTCTGTCTATCAACTTGCCACATCTATTAGTCAAGAGAGTTTCAGTATCCCTCTTTCTCCTTGTTTATTTTCAATCTTTAAACATTGGGGACAATGTTTAATTCAAGTGTGGGGGAGGGCGTACTTGCTTTTATATTTGTTATTTTACTTGTCCTTGAGTTTGTTTTATTTTAAGAATTGGTTGTATATATTTGTACATAGTTTAAAAAAATTGAAAATTTTGAAAATCTCATAAATATTTTTTTTTGTTTTAGTCAGTTGTTTTGATGTTTTTTGGATGAATGTGGCTAAGGTTGGATTGGTTTGAATTTGAGAGAATTAAATTTGATTAAAAATCGGTTCTACCTTCCTAGAATTTTAGTGAATAGGCAATGGATAAGTTTGAATAATTAACAATAGTTTGTCCAAAAAGCTTGTGAGAATTTTGAGCCTAAGTGTTTATTTCCTTTCAAAGAGAGTACATTTATAGTGATTCCATCTCTAAAACTTATTTTGAATCTTTGTTAAGACTTATATTAGCCATTTGCATACACAAAAATGATTTAGGCATTCATTTCTTTTAGCTAGTATGGCCAAATATCCATCCCTTTCTCACATAAATCCTTTATTTCACCTATTTGAGCCTTGGCCTTATTTTTTTAAAAAAATCATCATATGCCCTTTTTCTAATTTTTACCCACTTTTCACCCGTTTTTATTTCCATTTATTACTTTAATTAGTGCTAAGTGTTACATCCATAAAAGAAAATGAAGGATTTAGAATTTAGTTAGGGTTTAATAAGTGGTTCAAAAGAAAAAGAAAGAGAAAACAAAAGAAAAGAAGATGAAGAAAGAAGAGAAAAGAATATGGAAAGTTTTTTTTTAAAATGATAAAAAAATCAAGTGAAAAAAAAAAGAGGATGTTGGTTTTTATTGATACCTCTTGTAAATAGTTGTGATTTATCCTTCAATTTTCATGATCTTCATTTCACATGTTTAGCACTAATTGGAGTATATAATTTTAACCCATTGAATAATTCCATTTCATTATCCCTCCTAAAACATTATAACATTTCAAAAGTCCTTTTAATTTGTGTATACAATGGCATAATTTAGTGGAGATTAAGATGAGAAACAAGCCTATGGTAGATGGGTTACAATAGCTGAAATTGAGTGAAACACAATCCCTAGTGTCACATCCTAAAATTTTTTACATTGAATGACATGAGATATATATATACAAATTCACATCCCTAAATTTTAATTAAGAAAAGTTCTGAATTAATGTATCCAATTTTTTTTTTCACATAAAATCAAAATATCAAATTTTCTACAAAATTTCTGCAGCACCTCCCCTAAAGATAAGATCCTCTGAAATCTCTTCAACAGAAAATCTACAACATATATCCAATAATATAAAGCTTTGCTACTCAACAGCAAATAATTAACATAACAAAAAGAGGCAGGACCCTAACTATAGTTAATGTGGAGCATTTTAAATCGGACTCCCAAAAGATACTATATAGGTTTTCAAATTTTACATGAATAAGATAATATTTTCAAAAGTAATCTTCTAGTCAATTCGACAATGAGCCCATCAGAGATCAGTAGGGAGTACGAAATCAGCTTTGATATCTAAGACCAAATAAAATATTTTTTAGTGAATAACGTCCCAATAGTAAATAATTGAACATGATTAAAAAGGAAAGTTTGAAATAATTATATAAGTCAAATAGACAACAATTTTCATAAAAATCCAATAAATTTCAAAAGAAAATGACTCTATAAAATTTGAAATAAAATTTTAACCCATTGAATTATCATAACAAATGTTTTTATCACTTGATTTCCAGAAAGCACATAAATGAAATAAATGATTGTAAATAATATACTAGATAAAAACCAATAGAATATAAAATTACCAAATAATCAAATTCATAAATTTTTAGGGACTTATCAGAACAATAAACAAACGTGAACACACAGTCCACGAGGATAAATAACCGAACATGGCTTATGCCACGAATACAAACATGGATACACAATCCACGAGGATAAGTAACCAAATACAACCGAAGTTATGAAACAAATGTGGACACACAGTCTATGAGGGTATGTAACCAAACGCAGCCAAAGCCACGAAACAAACATGAGTACAATGCTCACGAATAAGCATCCCTCCGTTCCATATGTGTTGGCCATCGCACGAGGCTAGCACCTTCTATAAACACCCTGCTAGCTAGGTGTACCATAGCACGCGAAGGGCTAACGGAACTACCGTTAGCAACCAGTGTTCCGTATAAAATCCCCTTCAAATTTATTTTCAAACATGCGAGAAATTCATCACTTTCACAATAAAATTTTCATTTTCAAAGTCAAACTCACATGAATCATTCTCTGTATCAACCCAATGTTCAATAGAATAAAATCTCAGGATCAAAGTCCAAACTTATATTTATTAATCAATTAAAATTTCAAAAAAAATGATAGAGGTAATTTCACAAAATAATGAAGTTTAGTAAACAAACTATTCAATAACCACATCGTTATTACTAAAACCATCTTTCATAAAAATGTACTATTGTAGTAAAGAAAATCTTTATTGTAAAATTAGTTGGGACGCTATCCACCTACCTGGTATGCTCCCACGTAATGCTACTTATTTCAAATGAGCCTCTTTCATGAAATTTTCACTCTAAAATTTCCTAATACCCAAAGTAACACTATTAACATTTTCACTCCACCACGTTGTAAAAACGTACAAATATTATATAATACATATATATTGATTTATCATAAACTCTACAATCACCATCATTTATGAAGGAGAAAGGGATTCCTTAACATTAATCTGTTTGCATATTTACAAAAATTATCAAGAAAAGAGAATCTTAGTTCACTTCCTTCACATAGTACAATCACAATGAAGACAAATTCTATTTTTGTATCAGTCTTGCTTAGAAAGAACACAACATGATTTTCAATGCAAAAATATAGATCATATTATCAAGCAAACCAAACATGAAATATTTCATCCTTTCCTTGTATGCATACTTCTAGACTCCATTATTTATTCCGTTGGACTTGCCACACTATCTCTGCATATATCTCCAAACAACATTTATGTTTGTATATCAATATATAACTCGAACAATCATAATCATATCAATTCCCTCTTTGAAACATTTTATCAAACACTTTAGTAGCACCCATACCTAACTAAAATACTAAGATTCTTTCCTTTTAATGTTTCCTTTTCAAAATTTTTATCATCAATATTTAAACTTTCCACCCTCATTCTTTCTACACAACCCATTTAAACTAAAGAAAATTAACTTTAATCCCTTCCACTTACAGAAATCTAACACAAATATAAGTAAAATTATCTATCAACAAGATAATCCTGAATAGAAGTTATAGCTTAACTAAATCTCAGCTACCGCCTCAGTCACGCACAACAATAAACCAAAAATAAACATTTAGATCCATAACTGTTAATCACAAATAAAGAGAATCAAATGAGGGAAAACAAGAGGTGAGATTTATTCACCAGCAAAGCAACGAAAAAGAGAGAAAATTTAATGCTTCCTAGACACACAAAACTCAACGACAACACTTAAACTGAAAAGAAACAAAAGAGAAGCATGATAAGGAAAAATGGAAGTACCAGTGGGTCGAACATTCTGTAATCATGAACCAAATCTATCATGTCCAGTAGAGCAATGAAGAAGAAGGAAGATTCTATGCTTCTCCTAGCTACACACGCTCGGCGATGGCATTTGAACTAGGACGAAGAAGAAGAAGAGCAGTGACATTACAGGGGAAAGTAGAAAAACTAACAGATCGACCATTTCGCACCTATAAACCAACTTCCACAACACAAAATGACAGAACTTGCTACACAACTCCAATAGGGGAGAAGAAAGAACAGTCGGTGATGGACAGCAGAGGGAAGAGTGATGCGAACAGAGGAGGAAAACTAAAGAATCCAGTAACCCAGTCCTTTGTAGCCAACGAACATGGACTGAAAGCAGAGCGACGGACGAGCTGATGACGATGGGAGGGAAACGTGCGACGGGGGAATAGGAGAAAGGCGGTGAAGAACAATCGCGATCCTCTCCCCTTGTGAAGTCAGCTGAGTGACAGAGAACAAGAAGAGAAAATATAATCTAAAGCTTATGGGAAAAATTACCGAAAAAGACTCCATCAGATTTTATTATTATTATAATATTTTTTTTGGCAAGAGACAAATGCACATTCAATAATTTCCCATAAAGATAAAATAAAACTAACATTTAATTTAAGTAAGATTTAAACTCTAGACTTTCATATAAATAGCTAATATAAATTCAATCAGGCCACTACTCCTTATTTGTCATAAAACTAAGATATTAATTTAGAGAGAATTTATTTAATTTAAAATTTAAGATCATTGTACTTTTACTAGATCAATATTTCTTCTTTCATTCTTTGCTTGATTGTTTTTTTTAATTCATACAAATACAATTAAAACTCAT